ATAGATAGAGAGAGAGAGAGAGAGAGATAGATAGATAGATAGATAGATAGATAGATAGATAGATAGATAGATAGATAGTAGATAGAAAGATAGATAGATATAGATAGAAGATAGAAAGAAAGAGAAATATAGATAGAGAGAGAGAGAGAGAGAGATAGATAGATAGATAGATAGATAGATAGATAGATAGATAGATAGATAGATAGATAGTAGATAGAAAGATAGATAGAAGGTAGGTAGGTCGGTAGGTAGATAGAAGATACAAAGAAAAGAAAGGTTGATTGATTGATTGATTGATTGATTGATTGATTGATTGATTTCTATACCACCTATCTCAATAAACTCTCGGCAGTTCACAATTCAAACACATACTACAATTCAAACCTAAAAAAAAAAACCAATCAAAAACAGTAAAAGGCATTAAAGCCATTTTTAGAAAAACCGAAGGATTGTCGCTGACCACTTCCGCTCTTCCCCTCCTCTCCGCAGGGCACCCTGGAGCAATGCAGCGTCTGTGCCAAGCCCATCATGGAGCGCATCTTGCGGGCCACGGGGAAAGCTTACCACCCTCACTGCTTCACCTGTGTGGTTTGCAACCGGAGCCTGGACGGCATCCCGTTCACTGTGGATGCCGGGGGCAACATTCACTGCAGTGAGGATTTCCACAGGTGGGTCACGAGACGGAGGGTCTGGAGGGCCGGAGAAACACTGGGGTTTGGGTGGGGGTGAATTAATGGCATTCACCCACTGAAAAGTCCCGGCAAGATTCCTGCAAGGTGCAGTACAGACCTCATCAGTTCCTTGCGATAATTGCAGGGCCCCAAAGGCTGCAAATTAAGTTCTGCCAAGCAGTCTTTGCGGCATGAAGCACCATGAGCAAAATCTTCAGAAATACGAACTGTTGTCTCCTACGACAGCCACTCTCTTTTCCTTCTGTTGATTCCCCAGCGTTCACATGTGCTTTACTTCCCGAGTTGACTCCTTGTCCTCTATTGTTCACCTCTCCCAACTGCTCTGCCCATTTATGTGCTTCTGGGACAGGCCCCACCTGTTCTTCCGCCTCACTCATAGCGGCCTCCAAAGGCAACTGCCTCTCCCCGGTGGCTGGGAAATTTTGGGCGGTCCTGGCTCTATCTCCGCCTCCTACGTAGCGCATCCATCGGAGGCTTCCCCAGGCTCCAGAACTGTCCCAGGTTCCTCCCCAACCTCCGAATCTGCCGCCAGCTCTGCTGGCAGCTGGCGGGCCACAACAAATGCCGGGCAGAGATTGTCTCCTATGCCAAAGAGCATCAAGAAAAGGAAATGTTGAGTTTCTTTCTCACCTGCTCCTCTCATAGTTTATTCCTTCCCTGCAGGCAGTCCTCGACGTACCAAGTTATTTAAATGCCTGTTCAAAGTTACAACCCCACTTTAAAAAGTCACTTACGTGTATAAGTAAAAAGTATACGAAAGTATAGTAACTTACTTAAAGGTTACTATTTTTCACACTTACGACTGTTGCCAGCATCCCCACCGTGGTCATGGAATCAAAATTGGCAACTGATCCACATTTATGACGGCCGAAGTGTCCCCGGGGTCACGTGACCCCTTTTGGTGACCTCCTGACAAAGCCAAGTCAGTGGGGAAGCCAGATTCACTTAACGACCGTGTCCCAAAGGTGCTTTTTTCAAGGGGCAACTGGACTTTCTGATTTTTTTTTTCCCCTTTGAGGACATTTTCCTTCTCCTCCTAGAAGCTTCTTCAGCTCTGACTAGACTTCCATCCCTCACCATCCAGCCAGAGCTGAAGAAGCTTCTAGCAGGAGAAGGAAAATGTCCTCAGAGAAAAAGGCCAGACACGGCGACCGTCATAAATGTGAATCAGTTGCCAAGCCTCCGAATTTTGATTCCATGGCCGTGGGGATGCTGCAGTGGTCGTAAGTGTGAAAAAATAGTGACCTTTAAGTAAGTTACTATACTTTCGTATACTTTTCTCTACTTTTTACTTTAAAAAGCACCTTTGGGACTACCAGGAGCTGTAAGACTGAGAAGCCTCATACTTATTAATTAGCATAATAGTGGCAGAGATTCACTTAACGACTGTGGCAAGAAAGGTCATAAAATGGGGCAAGACTGACGGGGAAAAAATGTCTCGCTTACCAGTGGAAATTTGGGGACTCGGTCATGGTCGTAAGTCAAGGACCAGCTGTGTTCACGCTCACTTTCTCTCCCCCCCCCCCCTTTCCAGGAAATTTGCCCCACGATGCTCCGTCTGCAAGGAACCCATCATGCCTGCCCAGGGCCAGGAGGAAACTATCCGGATTGTGGCCCTGGACCGTGACTTCCACGTCCTATGCTACCGCTGTGAGGTGGGTGCCTTCAGCCCCTATTTCCCCCCCCCCCCCAATAACCCACCTGGCTCTCCAGGGACCAAGGATTCCTCTGGCCCTTCTCTCCCCTGGACAAGGTGGGGCCAAGCGCCAAATCCTGCCAGCTTTTGGTTGAAATACACGGCCATCCAAGCTGCAGGGAGAGATGGAATAGGAGAGGGAAAGAAAGGAAAAGATGGATGGATGGATGGATGAAGAGGAAAGGAAATGATGGATGGATGGATGGATGAAGAGGAAAGGAAATGATGGATGGATGGATGGATGGATGAAGAGGAAAGGAAAGGATGAAGGAAAGGAAGGGAACAGGAAAAGAAAGAAGATGGAAGGGAAGGGTAGGAAAGATGAAGAGGAAAGGGAATGAGGGATGGATGGATGAAGAGGAAAGGAAAGATGAAGAGGAAAGGAAGAAGGGAGGGAAGGAAAGGAAAGATGAAGAGGAAAGGATGAAGGAAAGGAACAGGAAAGGAAAAGAAGAGGGAAGGGTAGGAAAGATGAAGAGGAAAGGGAATGAGGGATGGATGGATGAAAAGGAAAGGAAGAAGGAGGGGGGAAGGAAAGATGAAGAGGAAAGGAAAGGATGAAGGAAAGGAAAGGAAAAGAAGACGGAAGGGAAGGAAAGATGGAGAGGAAAGAAAATGATGGATGGATGAAGAGGAAAGGAAAGATGAAGAGGAAAGGAAGAAGGAAGGAAAGGAAGGAGGAAAGGAAAGAAAAGATGGAAGGGAAGGGTAGGAAAGATGAAGAGGAAAGGAAAGGAAGAAGGATGAATGAAGGAAAGGGAAGTGGAAGGGCAGGGAGGGAAAGGAGGAGGGAGGAAAATACAGAGCAGGGAAGGGAAGGAAAAAAGGAAAGGAAGGAAAGGAGGGAGGAAAATACAGGGAAAGAAAAGGAGGGATGAGAGGAGAAAATAAGGAAGGGAGGAAGGAAGGAGGAAGGGAGGGAAGAAAGGAAGGACAGGAGGAGGGGAAGGGGGAGGAAGGAAGGGAAGAGGGGGGGAGGAAGAAAGGAGAGAAGGAAGGAAGGAGGAAGGGAAGAAGAGGAGAGAGAGGAAGAGAGAAGGGAAGGGAGGGAGAGGAAGGGAAAAATCTATTAACTCCCTTGCCCTCCCCCTCTAGAAATATTCTGGGGGTCCCTAGATGGGATTTAAGCTCGGAACCCCAACAAAGTGAAGCCACTTCAAATGCCCGACCCTCCCAGCTGGGTCTCGGGGGGGCCCAGAGCTTTCGGCCCCAAACATCTGGAGAGCCTTCCCTAAGGGAAAGAGTCCCCACAGTTGTGACCGACCCTAAGCGAAGTAGAAAGGCCCTCAACCCATCCTCCCGTAACGCCCCCCCTCCCCCTTTTCCCTCCCGTCTCTTCCACGCAGGACTGCGGGGGGCTCCTGTCCGAAGGGGACAATCAAGGCTGCTACCCGCTGGACGACCACATCCTCTGCAAGGGCTGCAACTCCGCCCGGATCCAGGCGCTGACCGCCAAGGCCAGCACTGACCTTTGAAGGGGGCACGGCTCCCCCCCGCCCCCCCCCCCCGGGACTCTCCTGCACACTACTTGCCCCCCAAACACACAGACAACAGATTGTGCCATCTTTCTCTCTCACCCACCCCCCTTTTTGGCTGTCATGGGAAGGTTTTTTTGGGTGGGGGTCCTGAGGTTCCTTCAAGGGGGCTTCCTAGCCTCCCCCCACCCCCCATGGAAAGGTCCCTTCCCCGGATTCCGGGAGACAGAGAGGGGGGGGGGGAGATGTGTCCAATTTCCATCTGCTTGGGGTGTCTCCATTCACGCAAATTTAAGAGTGGGGGTGTCTGGGGTGAGGGGTGGGGGGAATCCCTAGATGGGGGTCACGGCCTGACACACCTTTCCACCTGCATGCCTTAATTGCACATCTGTCTTTACCATAATCGGGATTTTTTTCTGGGCCTCCGTTCAACTGATTTACCCCAATTTCCTCCTTGTCCCCATTCATCCTGTGTTTTATATGCATATTTCTCCCCTGTGCCTTTTACACCCACCGTTGCCTGAGGGTTTTTTCCCCCCTTCGGCAAGCCTTAAGCTCGATTTGCACATTTCTACCGGGAGTCCTCGACTTACGACCCCAACAGCTCCGTCACTAAGCGAGGCGGGGGGAGTTAAGTGAAGGGTCCCTCGTTTCACGAGCTTTTTTTCTGACCGAGGTGGTTAAGGGAACCACTGCGGTCCTTAAGTGAATCACACGGTCATTAAGTGAACTTGGCTTCCCTGTTGACTTCGCCGGGCAGAAAGTCGCAAAAGGGGACCCCGGGACTCTGCAACCGTCATAAGTACATGCCAGTTGCCAAGCCTCTTAATTTCGATCACGTGGACGCCCCGGGGACGCAGCGACCGTCGTAAATGTGAACCAGTTGGCAAGCGTCCGAATTTTGATCACGTGACCCCGGGAGGCTGCCATGGTCATAAGTGTGAAAGGCCTAGCTCCCTTTTTTCAGTGCCGCTGCAACTTTCAACGGTCACTAAACAAAACAACTGTAATTTTGAGGATTATCTGACTATCCAAATCCACTTGATACCTAGGATCGTCTCCTGTTTTGACATTTTATGCCTTAAAAAGGAAAGAAATCAAAGCAACAGATAGAAATTGGGGGCTGATCGTGTTTTTCACTTGCCCTCCAGGCTCAAAACAGATTCAGCAACACAAAAGATTCAATTGCCTGGTTTTACAGATGGACTCATTTACTCGATCTCGCTGTTTTCATTCATTGGGAGCAGTTAAGAGAAACACACAATGCGTTTCATCCGTTTCCTGGCTAGGTCGTCCTGGACTTACGGCCGTAATTTGGAGGGACCAGTTAAATGAATCGCGCCTTATTTCACAGCCCTTGCCGCTACGGTTTTTAAGCAAATCACTGCCATTGTTAAGCGAACCACACACGGTCATTAAGCAAATCGGTTTGTTGAGAACTGTTCGCGGTCACACAACCCCTGCTACACTGCAACCGTCATAAATACATGTTGATTTGATTGCAGGTCATAAGTGAGAGGAACGGTCGTAAGTCCCTTGTCTTCAGTGCCGTTGTAACTTTGAACGGTCGTTCAATGAACGGTTGTAAGTCAAGGACCATCTCTATGGATTTATTTCTGGGTTTTGCAGTAGAGTAAAATTTCCCCGTCAGTCTTTTTCAACTCCGGCCCCTTTAAGAGGAACGGACTTCAACTCCCAGAATTCCCCAGCACCAAAAGTTGGAATCATTTCACCGTTTCTTCCCCTGCTGATCTCGGGGACATCCTCGCTACCCAGATGGACGGGACAGTCCTGCAGGAATGCCCTGTTCCGAATCTGCAAAGTAGAGAGAGATATTTCTTCTCTCTAGGCACACTGAGAATATATCTGCAGAACAAAACTCCTCATTGGTGACAAGAAGGGCATCGGGCCAGAAAACAGTTCCCAGACTCCACCTTGCAAGAGATTATGTTAAAAGAGGAGGATAGAGGAATATATTGATTGCAAAGCATCATGTAACCGAGTGCCCCCAGTGTGCCTTTTGCAGAAGGAATTTGGGGGCCTAATTTGAGCAGACGTATGTTTGAGAAAAATCAAAAGAAGAATGATCAAGAAAAGGAAGAGGGGAAGGGAAGCTCCGTCTGGCTGCTCAAGCAGAAAACAAGATTTATAGAAAAATAAGCACAGGAACCCGATTCGAAGAGATCAAAAAGAGAGATTTAAAAATTGGACACCGTGGGAAAGCTCCACTCTTAAGCCTTGTACAGCAGCAAAACAAGCTAGAGCCATATTTTTCCAACTTGAGGGGGTGGGGAACTCCCCTGGCCGATAATCGAGGAATTGTGTGAATTGAAGACCAGGCGTTCTGCGTGGGGGAATTCTGGGAGTTGAAGTTCATGCATTGCTGCCTGAGGAATCCTGGGAGTTGAAGTCTATTCATGCTGGATAGGGAATCCTGGGAATTGAAGTCCAACCATGTTGGATTCTGGGATTTGAAGTTTATGCATCCTGGATTCTGGGAGTTGAAGTCCAACTGCTGAATTCTGGGAGTTGAAGTTCATGCATGGTAACCAGAGGAATCCTAGGAGTTGAAGTCCCAGCATGTTGGATTCTGGGAGTTGAAGTCCAACTGCTGAATTCTGGGAGTTGAAGTTCATGCATGCTACTTGAGGAATCCTAGGAGTTGAAGTCCCAGCATGTTGGATTCTGGGAGTTGAAGTCCAACTGCTGAATTCTGGGAGTTGAAGTTCATGCATGCTACTTGAGGAATCCTAGGAGTTGAAGTCCCAGCATGTTGGATTCTGGGAGTTGAAGTCCAACTGTGCTGAACTCTGGGAGTTGAAGTCCAAGTTGTGGATGCTCCAACATTAGAGGTTTATAAGAAGATATTGGATTTATCTTGAAAGACTTAAGGTTTCCTCCCTGAACAAGGGGGGGGGGGTGGATGGACTAGAAGACCTCCAAAGTCCCTTCCAACTCTGTTATTCTGCTGCTGATGGGATGGTGGGCAATTGTTTAGTTGGGTTTAAACCTCTTGTTGGTTTGAACATTTGGTTCTCCTTAGAAGCTTCCAGAGACAATGGTTGGGTAGATCCCACCATCAGGAAATATTTTTCCCCTCTGTGTCTCAGTAAAATCTAGTACCTACCACTTACAAGCCCTTTGCTACTCCTCCTACTTTCTGTAGCTCTTGTCTAGAAAGTGATTATTTTGACCGTCTTCCTTGTAACTTCCACTTAGATTTTCATGTTTGCAACGAAATAATAGAACAAGCTTTCTTTTGCATTACTCTTTAAGAACAAAGATTTTAACGTTGCAATATACTTAAGTCCGCTTAAGATAAGAGGTTGTGAGTTTCTCAGCTTTTTTGTCTAACAACCTTTTTACACCAGCGTGTCTCAACCTTGGAGACTTTAAGATGGGTGGGCTTCAACTCCCAGAATTCCCCAGAAAAAACGGTTGTCCCCTTTCCCAGTTTGTGTGAGAGTTTATGTGGGACTTCCCAAAACAATTTGGAAGTGAAGTTATAGGGCCGTTTTAGAGTAAGGGGGTTGGGGAATGGCTTTTGGGAGAAAGGGTCCTTTGCAATTTTTACGGGTGGCAGAGGATGTAATACGAGTAGAGGGATCCCCCTCCCAATCAGACGCGGCCAACCCCTTATTTTAAACGCAGAGTTTGCAATTACACAAGTCAAATGAAAATCAAAATAATCACCCTTTTAAAACCAGGAGCCATTCCGGCAAAGCTCATGAATATAGAAGGCTAAAATGAAACATTTTTTTGCATCTCTCACCTTCTTCGCTGTTTACTTTTCCTAGTACACAAAGTCCTGAATCACCAGCTATATATATATATATAATATATGGTCAATCGGTATATATGGTGCCTTATTATATACTTTGAAGGAAACGCCAAAGTGCCTTTGCAAAGGTTCTGCAGTTTCTGTACGTTTTATTCTATGCAATTTTACACCCCAGTGTATCTTTTGACGTTCTTCTCGGCTCAAGTTTGTTGAATGATTACGATGCTTTTAATGGCCCCCTGAATTTTTATCCTGTTAATTTTTGCTAAATTTTTCCACCGTAAGGAGAAAAACGTGCACTGTTTCAAAAACTTTCTCTTTACTCCTGCCAAAAGAACCACAGATTATAATTATAATTATAATTATTATTATTTTTATTTTGGAAACTGTAACCAAACTAATAAACTCTCAATACACATCAATTTGTGTAGGTCTCCTTCTTTGCAGTTCTTTTTCCAAATGCACACCAGTATTGCGGGGAGGGAAGAACGGGGCAGTTGTTAAGTGAATCGCCTGGTCGTTAAGTGAATCGGACTCCCCGTTGACTTTACTTGCTGGGAAGGTCGCCAGAGTGGATCACGTGACTCAGCAATGGTCATAACTACGAGTTGGCTGCCAAGCATCCGAATTCTGATCACGTGACCAGGGGGGAAGCCGCAACGGTCATTAAGTGTGGAACACGGTCATAAGTTGCTTTTTTTTAGCGCATTTGTAACTTTAGATGGCCAATAAACAAACAGCTGTAAGTCAAGGGCTACTTTGAGGTTAAATAAACGGTCCTAAGTCCCTTTTTTCAGTGCTGTAGTAATTTTCAACGGTCACAAAACGGATGGCTATAAGTCAAGGACTAATCAAGTATAAATTTTGTGTCTTCCCTGGCTTCTGTAATAGAAGCACACACTTAACACACTGGCAGTCCTGGACTTATGACAATTGAGCCCAAAATTCCCGTTGTTAAGCGAGACAGTTGCTCAGTGAGTCTTGCTCCCATTTTGCAACCTTTCTTGCCACTGTTGTTAAGTGAATCACTGCAGCCGTGAAGTTAGTCACACGGTTGTTAAGTTGTTTAGCTAATCCAGCTTCCCGGTGGATTTTACCCATCAGGAGGTCGCAAAAGGGGAAATCACGTGACCCCAGGACCCTGCAACCGTCATAAGTACATGCCAGTTGCCAAGCCTTCTAATTGGGATCACGTGACCCTGGGGATTTCTGCAGCGGT